CTTACCGGAACGTTATTGATCCGCATGCGATTTAAAGTTCTTCGGTAGTAGCTGAAGTCATTCTGGATGGCTGGGTTCGTCATCTGTGGAGGGGGGGGGGTGGAGAATAGAATCAGACCTAGGGGAACCTGGCGCCCACGTGATGTCATCACAGCGTCACCAAGGAGACGGCACAGGTTTCCGGGATACGAGTTCGTCCCACTCGCTGCTATGTGGTGAATCTTTATTAATTATTCACCGCTGCCTCAGGGAGCTCTGTCAGGGTGTGAGGCGCGTGTGACGTGTGTGACAGAAGTAGCGGGGACAGGCCCAGAGCACCGCATCTAGCAGACGCAGCGAAGCATACGTGTCAGAGAGATCAACCTCAACAGGAGGATTCCCAGACCTCGGTGCCTCTCGGTGCCTGTCAGTGACAGCTCTGCGCGGGTCAGAGCATTTCCTCGCTGACGCAACATCTAAATAGGTCATGTGACATGGTGCTGACCCCAGCCCAGTATGGGCTTGCGGCACGATGGGGTGGACGTTTTCTACCGACGTCCAACAGAAGCACAGGACTGGACCGCGTTGTAGTTATCACAATCCTGGAGTGAGTGTGTATCAAAGTGGTCCCAACACCCTAATGGTGCATATTAAACGCAAAAGAAAAGAGCAAATCTCTCTGTTGGAGAGAAAAACACATTTTTCTACACAGACTTGGGGCAGTTTGACCTCATTGCCCAGCACATCAAAGCAGCCGTGTGTAAAATGCTGAAATGTTTTTATTGTGAGTGGGATTCTTATTCTCCTCTCCACACTGTTTTTCAAAACCGCTGAGCAAATACAGGCCTGCCACAGTGCCCTCAGCCCAAACGTGGCCTGCGGAATTTTTACCCTCCTTTGCGTGTCCCACATCTGAACCCCAACCCCCACTCCCCCCTCCCGAGGTCCCATAGCTGCCCCGGCCAGGGGTAGGGGGCTCTGTTTAGTTGCCAGGCTGGCGTTTGAACACCCTCACAGACACAAAGTGGGTCAGTCGGCCCAGGTCAGACTGAAAGATTGATGAACAAGGCTGGCGGAGCCCCCCCCCCCCCCCATTGCTTTTATTACCAGTGCAGGAGTGCCTCGGGGGTGGGCCTACCTTAAGCTCGTCAAAGCGCAGTGTGAAGTGCAGGATCTCTGCAAACTGCTTGGCCAGTGCCTGCTCCCGCTCCAGATGCTGCGTCGGCGTGTAGCGTGTGCTGGTGAGCGCCCCCAGGAGGCCGTGCAGTGCTCCCTCTGTGAGACAAAGAGGGGGCGTCGCTTAGCGGTGGGCCTGCAGATGGGACCTTCTCCCACACAACCGGGAGCAACTGGGCCAATCAGGGTCCAGACAGGAGACCTAATCTAGTCCACATGTATTAGTGACACTGGTCTGCAGCCAGAACCACCACTATCATGGCAAGGGGAGCTCGTGGAACATTCGCAGTTGATCACGAGCTTGGGAACGGAATCTTACATATATGAGTCTAACTTCTGAACGTGTCAGGTTGGAGCTGACAGAAACATGAGAGGGACATGGCAGGAACAGGACAGGCACTGGACAGGGACAGGACACAATAAGGACAGGGACAGGGCAGAGGCAGGACAGGGACAGGATACGGGCAGGACAGGGACAGGACACAGTCCGGACAGGGACAGGACACAGTCCGGACAGGGACAGGACACAGTCCGGACAGGGACAGGGCAGGAACAGGACACAGTCCGGACAGGGACAGGGCAGGAACAGGACACAGTCCGGACAGGGACAGGGCATCTAGCAGATCAGCTAACAAGTGCCGTCTTGATGGTGCCAAAGCACCCCTGTAGTCTATTTTCTAATTTATGCAACAGCAACAGCAATTCCTCCAGCAAGAAGCGGACCAAAGGCTAAAGAGGGTCGTGTCCGTCACAGCGACACTCCCACTGTGTCAGTATGTCACCCTGGCATCTTCCTGGGCCGTGTCACATTGATCAAGAAAACACGCATCAGGGCTCACCGTACATGTATGTACATGTATATGCATATGCACCCAGCACGGTCTAGGAAACCATCAAAGATACAAACAGAAAATTCTCACGTGTGTGGCTGACCTAAGATATGACCCAAGGCAGAGGAATTCTGGGAATGTGCTGAGCTGTCGACAGTCTTTCGCAGCACAAGGTGCCCCTCACTGCTCTGATCCGTACACGCGCCGGACGCGGAGACCAGCCCCTGGGCGTGACCCGCCCCTACCTTCACGAGTCATGGCTCACAGAACGTATGAGCCAACACTTTGAAAAATACGTGATCGCAGAGAATGGCTGTCATATGGAGTCTGTCGGTGACCTCTGCTCCCATCGTAGGAAGACCGGGGACTGCCTGCATACAGTACGTCTGCTCAGCCAGCGGAAAAATCCATTAGGCTTGGATTGTGAAGGCCACACCGAGGAAGAGGAAAATAGGCAGCTGACCAATACCAGCAGGGGGCGCTAACCGACCCATTCAAGGTCACTAGTCATTGGGCCGCTTAGAGTCTAGAATTATCACCCTCGGTCAGTCGGACACCACTGACTAGGGCTGGACAATAATTCGATATCAATATATATCGCGATA